CCACCAGATACATGTTTGACGCCATGCTGTGTTGCGCCGCGGCCCCCTCCCCGAAGCCCAAGCCCCGACCCGCCGCGCTCCGTCTTCCTCTGTGCGATGCGCGCACCCCCCCCTTGCGTCTGCGCAGCGAGGGTCGCTGCCCGGCGCGAAGTGCGCGGTTCGGGTTCGTTGGGCTCCCACCTTGCAGCACGACGGCCGTCTTCCACCCGCTCCTCTTCAGAGTTCCCAACTTTTTTGATGGATTTATGAAATATTGATAGAGACGAAGCCGCGTTTCAAGGCTGGTGTCAGAGGCCCTTTACGAAAATGGTGGAGAGATATTGCAGAACAACGGATTTGGGGCGAACCATGATGTAGGTATCTCAGAAGCATGTTCACCCAGCGTTCTTACCCAAATTAAGTTTATCGTCCGAGTTAGTACTGGAGTCAGGGTTGAAAATGTAGGAGAAAGGTAATACCTAATTGGAAAAGGCTTGGACGGACAGGCTCCTCCCGAGCCACCCACTCACCTCTCCTGTCCTGTCGTCATGTCCTCTGCTTGGGGCGCTCTTGATGTTCTCCCATAGAAGGCTAATCCTATTCCCCTTTCAAGATTCAGCTTAGGTGACACTTGCCTCCTGGCACCCAGTTATCAGAGGCCCGAGGTAGTGATCTCCTTGTCGGCTTCCCCAATACCTTGGGCTTCTTTGAGGGCTGGAATGGTGGCCGAATGGCGTGTATGGATTGTAAGGTAGTTAACACCATGTAACACCTAAGTAAGGAAGAAAGGAATTTTGCACAATAGGATCCCAATATCAACTTCCAAGTACTTGCCTATATACACACTGGTTTTCCAAGCACCTATGAATTGGCAGTTTCCTCGCCACTGAAGTTATTCTAGAAGGGTTTGACAACTTACTGAAGGTCTTTCTAAGACTAACCCTTTCTTTTTTCAGACCTATTTACCTCCTCATTTGCTTCCCAGAGAATGCAGAGAACACATTTCGCTTTCCCGGTTAACAGAGACAGTCTTACTCTTTTGTCCTGGCTTGCATTCCTCAGTCCCCAACACAGTGCCTTATGCTCAGTGGGCGCCTAGTGGATGGTTGCAGATTCCTCTTACTAAGTAAATCAGTGATGCCCCTCGACTAAATCAGTAGAAAGTGACCGTGCATGGCACCCAGGGCACTTGAGACCACTATAAGCGCTACTCCAGGTCTTACAACTTTCCTTTCTTTTCTACTTTGTTTCTGCACTTTTCCTCCTGGCACCCAGTTATCGGAGTCCCAAAATAGTGATCTCCTTACAGGCTTCCTTGCAATTCTTTGTATTCTCTTTAGTCCAGTTTTCTAAACCTTTACTCCCATTCTGTTGAGGCTTTTTGGGTGGGCACCAAGGGGTAGGTTGTGGATAGTAGTCCTATTTGGCTTGGGCTTCATATTCACAAAGATTCAAAGTAGACTCCAATGTTATTTCCAAAAGAGATATACATGGCAGATGAGAACAATGTTGATGTTCTTTTTGCAACATTACTTATGAACTTTAAAAATCTAACTGTGAATCTATAACTTTAAAAATCTAAAATATACTGTAATTTAGTAACCCAGTTTGGGCATTTCTCCATTTTTTTTTTTTCATTTTTTTGAAAGTCTAAGAAATTGGAATTAGCCAGGCTCTTACTCAACTTCTGAAATTAACTTTCTATTTCCTCTTCTGACTCTAGTTGCTTTTTCTCCTGCTTCTTGTTCATGCCAAATAATGGAAGGCATGGTTGTTCTCTGAAATCCTTTAGTGCTAGAGTAAACACCTTGAACTTTAATAAGTTCTCTTCCTTGGCATTGTGTCAATATTTTTTAAAAGATAGAGACCACTTACAGTGAGCAGAAGAGTATCAGGTCACTTATCAGAACTCAATCATAGGATATGGCTGGGCAAAACAAAGCAGGAGGGAGCTACAGCTGTTACCTGCAGTTGCATGTAGCCCAGCACTGCTTCTGCCAGTCAGCTGAGCTCAGAGGAGCTCCTACTCTCCTGAAAAGGAGCTGGTAGTGGCTGGCAGAGCAGGTGAGATCTGATTAGGCAATCAGAGGGGTGTGGATTTTTATTTAAAACTAGTGACCCAGTGCATGGATTCATGCACATTGAAAGGGAATTAATTAGAAGGTGGCCAGGGGGCAGGATTGGGAGAGAAGAGCCCGACACACCCTGGAGCCAACCTCCCGCGGTCCCTCCCCAGCATCTGCGGAGTGAGCGGGGTCTCCCCAGCAGGTGGGATCCCTTGGGCTGGCCTGTGGGGATCCCGCTGAAACTGGCTCTCCAAGATCCCCTGAGGGGTCTTGGAGTGCAAGAGGGCAGCTGCAAGAGTTGCTGTCGTACAAGGTGTGGAACGCAAATGCAAGTGTGCAGTATACCAGATTCGGGGCCAACAGTGCCCCAGCAATAACATAACCCACAGCCGAAGGTGGAATTGTGCAGTCCTGCGAGGAATCAGGCTCCCTCCTCTCTGGTTTCAGGGTGCGTCACCCAAGAACCAACAATGCCAAGTCACTGCAGCTCAGCAGCTCCTGCATTGAGCGTCTGCCCCCTGGTGGCCAGTACGCGTCATAGCAACTGGTCGGAAGGTAGGAGGGACACTTAGCATATTAGCCATTTATATATATAGACTCAAGGCCTGGTGCACGATTCATGTACCAGTGGGATCCCTTGGCCTGGCCTGCGAGATCGGGCCGAAACTGGCTCTCCGACATCCCTAAGGGCTCCTGGATTGTGAGAGGGCGCAGGCCAAGCTGAGGGACCCCATCAGTGCATGATCGGGGCCAGGGAAGGACTGCAGGAGGGCTCCAGGGTGTGTCCGGCCCGTCTTGCTCATTCCCGGTCGGCCGGACCCCAACAGCAAGCCAACCTACTGGTCAGAGTGTCTGCCCCCTGGTGGTCAGTGCACGTCATAGAGACTGGTTGACCAGTCGACCGTCTGCCCCCTGGTGGTCAGTGCATGTCATAGGGAGAGGTTGAGCAGCCTTAGTATATCATTAGCATATTACACTTTGATTGGTTGAATGGATGACCAGATGACCAGACACTTAGCATATTAGGCTTTTATTATATAGGATTGTATTGAATTTTTTTGGGTGACATTTGTTAATAAAAAGATATAGGCTTCAAGTGTACAATTCTATAATACATCATCTGTACACCTGTACCTAAAGTTAAGTCTCCTTCCATCACCATTTATCCCCCTTTAACCGTCTTCTACCTCACTCAGCTCCCCTTTTCCTCTGGCAATCAACATACTATGGTCTGTGTCTTTGAGTTTTTGTTTTTGTTTTTTTCTTAATCTCATCACCTTTTTCACTCAGCCCCCCAATCTCCTCCCCTCTGATAGCTGTCAGTCTGTTCTCTGTATCTATGAGTCTGGCTTGTTTCACTTAGCACAATACAGTGGAACCGGGTTTTCTAATTTAATTCATTCCAGAAGGTTGATGGAGAAGCGATTTGCTAGAAAACCCATTAGAAATAATGTAAATTGAATTAATTTGTTTCAAACCCCCGAAATGATTCCGTTTTAACCTTTCTTATATACAGTACATGTCTGATGTACTGTTTATAAACAAACACTTCTTAAATTAATCAAACCAACCTCTACTAGCCTTAAACAAATTCCTTTCAGCATTCATTCCAGAGGTGTCTTTTAGGAAGTCAGTATGTGGCACTTTATCAAATGCTTTTTTTGCATCTATTAATATCAGCATGTGATTTTTATTTTTCATTTGGTTTATGTGGTGTATCACATTTATTGATTTTCACACATTGTACCAACCTTGCATCCCAGGAATAAATCCCACTTATCATGATGTATGATCTCTTTAATGTATTGCTGGATCCGATTTGCTAATATTTTTTGAGGATTTTAGCATCTATGTTCACCAGGGATATTAGTCTATAATTTTCTTTCTTCATATTTGTAGTGTCTTTTTCTGGTTTTGGAGTTAGGATACTGCTGGCCTCATAAAATGAGCTTGGGAGTGTTTCCTCCTCTTGAATTTTTGGAATATTTGAGAAGGATAGGTTTTAATTCTTTGAATGTTTGGTAAAATTCACGTGTGAGCCATTTGGTCCAGAAGTTTCGTTTGCTGGGAGTTGTTGTTTTTATTACTGCTTCCATTTCATTAGTTATAATCAGTCTATTCAGATTTTATGATTCCTCTTGATTCAGTTTTGGAAGATTGCACATTTTTAGGAATTTATGCATTTCATCCAAATTGACCAATTTGTTGGCATATAGTTGTTCATAATATTTTCTTATAATCCTTTGGATTTCTGTGGTGTCAGTTGTTACTTCTCCTCTTTCATTTCTGATTTTATTTCGGTCCTCTCTCTTTTTTTCTTGATGGGTCTGGTTAAATGTTTGTCAATCTTGTTTACCTTTCAAAGAACCAGCTCTTGGTTTCATTGATCTTTTGTGATGTTGTTGTTGTTTTTAGACACTATTTCATTTATTTCTGCTCTGGTCTTTAATATTTCCTTTCTTCTACTCACTTTTGGCTTTGTCTGTTTTTCTTTTTCTGGTACCTTTAAGTGTAAAGTTAGATTGTTTATTTCAGATTTTTTGTTTCTTGTAATGCTATGAATTTCCCTCTTAGGACTGCTTTTGCTGTGTCCCATAGATTTCGGGTTGTTGTGTTCTGTTTTCAATTTGTTTCAGGGTACTTTTGGCTTTTTCTTTGATCTCATTATTAACCCATTCATTGTTTAGTACAGTGATTCCCAAAGTGGGCGCTACCGCCCCCTGGTGGGCGCTGCAGCGATCCAGGGGGGCGGTGATGGCCACAGGTGCATTTGTTTTAACTTTTTTTGTATTACCTTTCTATTCTGAGTTCAATAAATAGTTTCATAATTTCAAACTTCAATGTTTCTAATTTACACCTTTCTTTACTATATTTTACGAAAAAGGTAGAAACATTAATACATATATCTTTCTGTTTAATTGCTATTAAAATTTAAAAAAAATTAATTTCCAGGGGGCGCTGAGTAATATTTTTTCTGGAAAGGGGGCAGTAGGCCAAATAAGTTTGGGAACCACTGGTTTAGTAGCATGTTATTTAGCCTCCATGTCTTTGGGTATTTTATAACTTTTTGTGTGTGATTGATTTCTAGTTTTATACCATTCATTGTCTTGATATGATTCAGTCTTGAATTCATTGAGACTTGTTTTGTGTCCTAATCTGAGGTCTGTCCTAGAAAATGTTTCATGTGTACTTGCACAGAATATGTATTCTGCTGCTTTGGGGTAAAATGCTCTGAAAATATCAATTAAGTCTCTTTCATCTAGTGTTTCATATAAGGCTGTTGTTTCCTTGTTGATTTTCTGTCTGGA